GTCAAAAAGCAGGCCCAACAGTCACAAAGCAGACGATCAGTCACAAAGCACTCACAAAACAGCCTGGACTGTCACAAAGCAGATGATTAGTCACAAACCAGCCCGGACAGTCACAAAGCACTTCCGTGGCAGTGACACAGCAGCCGGAACACTGACAAAGCAGGCCGAACAGTCACCTCGCAAAATAGCCTCACCATCCTTTTTATAATGAACTAAAATCCCGTACCAGCCACGCGGACCCCGAACATCACGGAAATTCTAAACCGCATAGCACCCGGAATACTCACAAAGCACCCTCACGATGCTTTATAATGAACTAAAATCGTGTACCAGCCACGCGGACCCCGAACATCACGGAAACCTTCGGTTTCACAACCTCATACCGCGACTGCAACCCAAGTCACAAACCTGAGACGATGAGTCACAAAACAGGCCAGTACCCTGAATGACCGCCTTTCACTACGGATATCCTCTCCACTACATTTGGAAGGGGGAGACAAAAAACTGCAACCTTCACACACACATCCATGTATGGCACCCTAGTAAGAAAATCGCAACACTAAATTAGAAAGACAACTATTCCTACTCCGAACCAGATCCCTGCGAGTCGTCCAAAGTGCGGCTTTTGCGAGGTTCACGCAAGCTGCGAATAGCGTCGGCGAGGTAGACATAGCCCTTCTCCATCTTGTCGAAGCCAATGGTCGCCACCCGCTCACGTGCAGCAATATCCTTGTCCACAGTTTCTCTGTGGACTTCCATCTGTTTGACTGCAATGTCACGTGTTGTGTCACACCTCAACTTCGCGCACTCTCGGTCTGACCGTGTAACGGCAGCGGTGTGATCACGCATTGCCCCAGTCACAGCCTTCATACTTGTCTCACGGGCATTCGATGCCGTCCTCTTGCGTTTCCCAAGGGTTGGTTCGAAGGGTGTCGGCCTAGAGGTTGGGGTTCCGCCTTCGGATCCTCCACCCATGTCCTCACTCACACCCTCTGTATCCCCGCCCCCATGAGCCCCCTTGTTCGCCTCTTCCCATCTTTCCTGTTCGACACTGGAGTCCCACAAATTACATAAGTTTATGGAGTCGACGTCCTTCTCAACTGCGTTTATGGTGTCATACCAACTGCGCCTTAATACAAAATCTACATTGTACCTCTTTCTCTTCGTCTGGTTCATATCCCAGTAACTCGGTAAGCCCGACCACCCTTCATGTATCTTCAGCCGCCGATAGAAGTCCATCACTTGACTAAATTTCCCCTTGCACTGATCATGATCACGATAGTATCCGCTCTCCCACATGCGATGTTCGACATTCTTCCAAAACCCTGCCTTTGCGCGAGCCCTTCCCATCCCCTCCGTCTCCTCACCGAGAAGTGCCTTCGTCTCGTTGCGTGTTTGACAAAGCACCGTCGTCTCCTCCTCCCCCCACCTATCCGAGTTCTTCGGCGCGTCAGGCGGTCTGACATGTCCGCGTTGCGGACGCCCTCCCGCGGATGATCCATAACCCCCAACATCTGTCGCCGGGACGTAGGATGGACCGCCGGCCCCGGCACCGTCGTTCACCGCATGGGCATTGCCATCGCGACTTGGCGGTGCTTGCGGGGAGACGTCTGCACGGATGGCCACGTCCGGATTGCCAAGTCCACCATAAATGAAACCCGCACTCCCCCCTGTCGAAAAAACCCCACCTTCCACGTCGCGCACTAGACGATTGATGATATAATCACACCCCGGACTCTGCTGCGCACTGCTCCGAGAATGCCCCCCCCCCCCCGACGGGGGTGTGACGCTGTCTCGCACCCCCTGCGCACTGCTCGAGCGGGGTGGAGGGGTAACGCTTCCACCGTCTAACGATCTGCGAGGCCCATCGCTGCAGTCACCGGCCGCCAAAGGCCTTTCAGGCGTCACAGTGCGCGACGCCTCCGAATGAGAAGGGGACAAATGGGGAACCCGGCTACCAGCCACAACAAACGGATCCCGTGACTGCCCCTCCGCCATGGCTATGGCACGCATCCGTAACTGCTGCCTCAGGTAATTCTCATCTCGTACAGTCACCCCATAACTTAGACCCGCAACGGGAGTGCGTGGAGAGGACAGCGGAGGCGGCAGTGTGGCATCAACGTCACGACAAGGGGAGCCCCTTCCCGGCACGGCCGTGCCGACAGAGCTGGGATGGCCCCTACTCCCGAAAAACTGGGAATTGGGGACCTGAGTGCCCAACACGTCATGCTCACTGGCATTCGGAGGAGGGGCAAACCCTGCCTGTCCTCGCAAAGCACTGGACTGTTGGGCATGGTCGGCACGGGGAGTCCCATACTGGGACTCCGAGTACCCCCAGTCCACTATACAGGACAGTCCCGCATTCTCATCCGGCGTTTCCATGGGATAAAAAATGGAGCGTGGCTGAAGAAAGGTCGACGAGGTGCTAGGGGCGAAACACGGTTTAGGCGGTGGCATCAACGACAACACGTAACGGAGATGGCATCGAATAGAAGTCCGCAGCCACAACAAACGGACAGGACAAAACCGCTCTCCACGTAACGTAATGGACCACTGCCTAAACCGTGGACTCGGCGTGGAGGCGAGATGCTGCAGCCTCCAACGGTTTCCACATGCGCATCACATCCCATTTGGGGAAAGATACATGCACCGGCCTACACTCGAAAACAGTGCCTCGAGGTCAGTCAGGAAAGAAAGAAATGAATGTGGCCCGAATGCCTGGCTTTAAGAAGGCGGAGGGACGTGCACCTAGCCCCATTTGCGGCATGGAAACAACCACCATCATGTTTTCAAAAACCTTTTGGTAGGGGGGTTCAAAACGACCGGCGTTTGCGGACTGTCAGACCACATTTTGTTTTCCGTTTTGCCATTGCACGGCCAAAAGCGGGGCCCGCGAAGTCTTGAAAACGCCCCCCCCCCCGGGAGGTGTTGTTTTCCAGACGGCGGAGCAGCATTCTCTGCTAATTTCCTAAGAAGTGGGAGGATTTCCCTCGAACGGGATTGGCTGGCTGATTCCCTTTTCCTCGCTCAAGGATGCCAAAACCTCCGACCGTCGAATCTGAGGTACATCTACGACAATGGAACGTCGCCAAGGGCCACACATGATCCAAAAGCCGACGACGGCGTGATATACTTGGCTAGTGGGTCAAGGCCCCTGGAAGACGGATCCAGCGTCCCATATACATAAAGATCAAAGTACAAGCACATGCTGCAACCCATACTTCTTCTTCAACCAAGGGGCAGCAGAAAACTTTTAATGGGTAAGCCTTAACGCTATGCCTCTAACTGCCCACTCTCTGCAAGATCTTCCCTCTGTTAGGTCCGTAAATCATCTAGTCTGTTCTAGGCAACTATGTACCGCCTCACAAGTTACATCAACATTAAACAACGCAGATAGTAGCCAAAGCCGGCGCAGGACTCTCCTTCTCATCCATACTGACGGGAGAAACGGATGATTATTATCTCATCTTCTATACCATCTACTCTGTCAAGGTGAGCAAAGACCAATGCTCACTAATCTCCGATGAGCTCAATGAATATCAGACTCCGTGTACTTTACCTGCCTTACTTCAGAAGAGTCTTTCATTCAGATACAGACTGGTTCATGGCAACACTCTTCCCATTCTGATTGCTGTCTGATCGAAAAGTTGCTGGAAGCTAGCCTTGCCATTCCTCTCTCTCTCTCTCTCTCTCTCTCTCTCTCTCTCTCTCTCTCTCTCTCTCTCTCTCTCTCTCTCTCTCTCTCTCTCTCTCTCTCT